ATTGTAATTATTTATTACGTGCTTTTATTATGTTATTTTCAACTCCTAGTATAGTTCCACTGTTTCAGGAGTATACTTATTAAAGATTAAAGATAAAGACATGTAACTGGACTGGCTAAGCCTACTTGTAACGAGTTATGCTTCTTTGTTGTCGGAGAGTTCCGCTGAGGCCGATCACGCAATCGCACAACAGCAAAATATAAGCTACAACTTTTAACTCATTCTAATCAGTTTCATTGTGCGTACTTTCAAGCTTTTCAACGGAACCAAAATGAAATTTTTGCAGTACCAGACATTACGTGAACCTGCCGCTTCTAGCTTGGAAACATGCAACTACACAAAATTGAATAATACTATCACAGCAAGTTTCTCTAAGCATGGACTTTGCTGGTTACATGCGCTCAAACGACTACAAGCAATTTCTTCTCTTCCCTGTGCGTCCCTTTCCCAAGTCCCCGCCTTCCTCCCACTCGCCGGCGCTACTTGTAAACTACGGCGGAAGAATCCTGTCACGTGGTTATTTTCCATTATATTTTCAAAAAAGCTTAATATAGTAAGGATGAATAAGAGTAGAACAAAGTTTTTCTTATAGTTATTCCCTTCCCACCTAAAGGGCAACAACGAAAGGATGAAATAAAACACAAAAATCACTGCTATTATCTTGTTTGTGCGGTTGACCCTAGATAAATACAGGGCTCGTACCCTTTTTCAGAAACAAATTTCCAGGACTTTTCCAGGACTCAGATTGATTTTTTCAGGACCCTAAAATTCACATTAACCCTTTCACTCCCAAGATCTTAATGTTGATTGTCCTTACTGTCTGCCATACATTTCATGCTTTTTTACTTGAGTTTAACAGATTTCCAGAACTTTCCAGGACCAGTAGCCCTTTTCCAGGACTTTCCAGTCCTGAAAAATGCCACAATAAAATTCCAGGACTTTCCAGGTTTTCCAGGACCCGTACAAACCCTGTAAATAGCCAGACAGACAGACAGACAAACCAACATATCAGACTAAGAGACGGACAGACAGATGGACAGATAGGCAGATAGATAACTAAATAAATGATAAAAAACGAGTAACAACTGCTCATCAGGTTTTTTTAACCATTTGATCAGTGCAATTTTAGCGCCCAGGGTAGACAAGGGTGCTGGTAACATGCCTACTTAAACGAGATGAGAGTCATTTTCAATTTTTTTCTTTTAGATGGTTTTAGCTTTTAGCTTTGTCTCTCAGTTGTCAGTAAAGAAAGACTGACTTTTCAATAATAAGGAATAAGAATTCTGTGTTGATCTGAAAGAGTTTCATTTTTCTTGCTGGACACAGCAGGCAATATAGCTCCACCTTGCTCCTTCAGGTACCCATCACAGTGTACCATGTGGTTTATCTCTTGACAGCTTGTGATGCTAGCCATATGAAAAATAATCTGACTCGTTTGTTCAATGTTGAAATTAGGAGTGACGTAAGACTGTGGTAAGAGGTACAGAGTAAATACCAACTGGTGTTTAATGGTGTATAAGAAAACATCACACAGATGACTATGGGAACAAACCAACAAAGATGAGAAGAAAAAAGAATTAATGTTTAATTTTTATCTATTAAATACAGTTTGGAAAATAACACAACTGAGCAGGAACAACTCTTGTGACATAATTATCTTGCTTTGGTTACCGAACACAGTCCACAGCTAAGAGAATCTTGAGGCATTCTTTATTTCTTCTTTTTTGCCCTTTTGCCTTCACCTGAAAAAATTAAACGGTTTTAATTCTGACTTGTGTGTACTCCCAACTTTTCCATAGCACAGAGCACAAGAAAACCACAATGCTCACCAAAGTAGAGCAAATACAAGCACAAAATTCAATGTTAAAGCAGCTTTTTCTGGACCTCTTGTTATGGATACACAAAAAAACTTGTACTCTGTAGCTTCTCAGTTTCCATTACCATTCTTAAACAAATAGTATAAATTAGACAACAGCAACAGATACAGATCTTAATGAATGCCTACTAGAGGCATATCACAACATTTCACTGGCTAATACAAATCATGGTTGACCCTTTTGGCAGATCCCCCCTGACTCACCTTTCTTTGGAGGTCCTTTGCCCCTCGCTTTTCGCCTTGCTGCCATCTCTTCTTGGAAATTCTAAATAAAAAAATAATTAATATGTGTCATTAAATTTGTCCTCAGTGAGCATCAACAGCTTTCTTGAGAGCTGAAACTTCAAGTCTTGAGCCATTCACTATACATGTTGCCTGGTTTCTATGTGTTGTTTAAAATTCCAGATGCTTTGGATCCCTACTACATATTACTACAAAAGATTGCAGACTTCTGATCAACATCACGATTTTGCAATATGGAGGACAATATTTTTGGTTTGTGAGCTTTAATGATGTCAACTTAAACCAAGCATAGAGGCTTACATTGTAAATGTGTAGAGTCAGGATACCAATAGTGCAGTCAACTATTGATAGCTTGACTCTATATCACAACACAAACGTTCTAAAGTTCAGTTATCATTTATCTGCATAATCACAATCAACATTTAATATACATGTAATTAGGGTAAGAACAGAACTGGGAAGAAGTTATTTTCAATGAAGGGGTTAAGTAATTTCGAATTTTATTAACAAGAAGGTTATAGATACTCTCCACTTCTCTTTTTATTCTTTATTCATATTTATACTTTATTAATTCCTTATCTACGGATGTACTAATTCTTATGTGTACAGTATAAGCTGTTGGGGGGACTCACTGGGGTTTGGTCAAGCCCCCTAAATAAAGAAATGAAACATTGTAACAAGCTGACTTGGCCTAAGAATGCCAGAAATCCCATTTCTGAGGACCTCAATTTTAGAAATGTTCCGGGGAGGATACCCCTGGACCTTTGGAAGTTCCCTTCTCAAACCCCCTTCGATTCTCTAAAATGCTGCATCTGCCCCAGTAGTAATACACTTTTCCAGAGTTTTTAAAAATTAACACATGCTTGTGTAGCTTGAAAATGTACTATGTGTGTTTACTATTCTCTCAACAGAAGCTACTTACCAAATGGTCATCATAGTACAATCCAAAATGCCTCATTCTAAAAAGCAGAGTCTGGAACTTCTTCAAAGGCGGGTAGTAAGAATTTATCTCGCTTCCCAAGGGTTGTTTAGCAAAATGCTCTACAATTTTGTACGATCTACACACAAAAAAATGTAAACTACATTAAAAACACCGATTTAAATAAGCTTATTAAAGAATTAAGATTAATTAATAAGTCTGGGAACCTTTTACAAGACAAAGATTCGGACAAAAAAACGGGAAAAAGACAACGCTTAATTGAGCCCGCTGTTAGCGCAATGTTAAGTTGAAAAATCGTATGCAGCCGAAGAACGCAAAGCTTTTACTGATTCCTAGTTGCCATCAGTTTTTTTCCCATCAGTTAAGGTAAGCTTCGACCGAACATTGAATGCAGTCAAAATGTCTGCACGTCACCCAACTCTAAAATAACTTACTTTGGGGTTACTTGGCGGGTCAACTCGCCAAATATCCTTGCTCTTAATAGAGCCATCTTTCTTGCGTAGGTTGCACTCATCTTGATAAGAAATACTTCAATACTTCTTTAAGAGAAACTACAATTAAGTTCTGATAGCATAACATCACGGCGTTCTTCTCGCGGCAGCCATTTTGAGAACAGAGCAGGACTGGGGCTAGAGCTTGGTGGCCTGGCCAGCAAATCCAACATGTCCGCTAAGAGTAGGTGGAAGGGATAAGGAATGAAATGAATGCCGTTAAGCCTGTGATACGTAATGCAGCCACTTTAATTTTGGTTGCTAAAAACAGCCATCTTAAAAGCTACTTCGACTACAGGATTTTGTTACTTGAGAGAGGGACTAAAAGTAAATTTATGGTATGTACAGTATAAGACGCTAATGAGACCATAGTTCTCATAGTTGGTCCGGTCAGACTGCAGACCAGAGGTAAAATACAGACTGAGGGTAAAATGCAGACTGAGGGTAAAATGCAGACTGCAGTCTGAAGACTTTATCAGTGCATATAGCGGTCAGTGTAAAACGCAGACTGTGGACTGCAGACTACAGACTTTTAAGTTGTACATATCGTGTTATTTCCATTATCGAGTGCTGACCGTAAACAGGATTTTTCAGGCTAAACACACAGTAAAACGTTTACCCTCCAGATAGCCTGAAAATCACTCTGAATCCTGAATCCTGTTAGGCTGAATATCACTCAGGTTAGCCTTAATAACAGTCAGATTAACCTGTTTACTGTTTTTAAATTACTCTCAATGATGGAAATGGTAACACGATTCATTTAAAAGGTCTATTAGTCTGCAGTCCTCATTTTAGCCCGGCCCTGGTCTACAGTCTACATTTTGCATTCAGTCAACATTTTACCCCTGGACTTCAGTCGGCAGTCTGTGGTCAGCAGTCTGTGTTTTACACTGACCTGTCTTATACACTTCAGTGCTGGGAATAGTCCTATAATTGACTGGCATCCCACTTCAGGGTGAACTGGAAAGGCTTGCAGCCTATTCATGCTTTTACCCTAATTATTATTGTCAATTAAACAAGGGCATCTAATTAGCTTGCTATAATTTTGCCCTTTTCCATTTCTCCTCTTACTTGTTTACTTTATATTTATCTTTGTAATTTTAGAATGGAATAAATAAATAAATAATAATAATAATAAAAATAAATAAACCAGGATAAGCTCTCACTGGCATTACAGATTCAGACTTAATCTAAGAGACCTAACATGGATTTGATATTTTTTCTTTTCTTCACATTACAGCCAAGTTTTTATGTTTTTCCTGGTGGTGTGATAGAGAAAGCTGACTTTTCTAATGACTGGCTGGAACTGTTTAAACAATCATTTGCCAAATTTGGGAAAGACTTCACATCCCTTGTCAACATTCAAGGTCCTCGTCCACCTGTGTTGAAGAACTCTGCATCAACAGATATACCAAGCGATGTTGCATTTAGGATTTGTGCAATAAGAGAGACATTTGAGGAGTCAGGAGTCCTGCTATGGAAGAGTTTCTCAAATGACAAGAACAGCAATCTTGACATGGATGACATTCAGACCTGGAGGAAAGAGGTTTATGCTGATGCAAGCAAGTTTTTAACCATGTGCAGGTAATGACCAAATTACTAGCTTTTCTTCACCTTGAGAAATTGTTTTGTTACTTAGTTTGTTCAGTAGGCAGGTTGTTGTTTCATGGAACTCAGGGAAATATTGTTGCAATATTGTACACTCATGGAAGTTTTGGAGAACTCGTAAAAGCTGTGGAAACACTCGTCTCTCGGTTCGTGTTCGCTCAGCATTTCTTGTTCTCCTAAACTTCCAACTCTGTTTCTGTAATTCAGTAGAAACACAGTACATGCTTTCTCTTTCTTAAACATAATTTGTATACCCAAAACCTGGGTTGTTCTACTTCACTGAGTGTTTCAAGATTAGACAGCTACATGTATGTGCAACACCACTCTCTAGCATGATTCTGTCAAGAGAAAATTAACAAAGTATTAAGAAATGAGATCTTAATGATTTATCATCTTTAGATGGGCTCTTTATTGAAGATGTCTGTGAGTTTACTATACACATACATAATTTGTTTTCCTTTACAGAAAATTTGAATGTGTCCCTGATGTGTGGTCTCTCAGTGAGTGGTCTAATTGGCTGACACCTGCTACTTTATCAAAACGATATGACACCATGTTTTACCTTTGCTTTCTTGACAATGAACAAACAGTGCTTCATGATGAGAAAGAAATGACTCAATCAAAGGTGACTTATTGCCATGGAAATTTTATCCTTTCATGAATGTCCTTGCAACAGACATGTTGTCACAAATTATGTTAACTTTTGCTTTCACTGTAAAAAAATAATTTGTATCATGCAGGTCTCTCCTGGACTAATTTTTCATTGTGGCACTAACTAAATGTTGTTGTTGTTGTTGTTTTTATTATTCAGTGATTCTTTGCCCTGCTGGTGCATTGACCAGTAAATTTATAAATTCAAAATACAATCCAAAGATCAAAATATCTGGTCCATATTTATTGTAGCTTTGTTTGTTTGTTTGTTTTCCTATTTCTCCCATTTAATTTATTGTTTGTGTTTTGGATGATGTTTCATGTGTTTACTTTCATTTTAGTGGATTACTCCAGCAGAAGGAGTTTCAAAATTTAGGTCACGACAGATCAAGGTTGGATTTCCTCAGGTCTACGAGCTGTCAAGATTTTGCCGGTGAGTTTTCTAGTCTCTGCTACCATGTATATTGAGTGATTTTGCATTTTTATCAGTGTGGAAATACCTCTAAAGAATTAACCCCTAAAATCCAGTCAGCCCTTAACTACACTGTAATTGAGGTTGGCTGTACATTTTGTTTACATGAAGATTTCCAAAGTGGGCAGACTTCCAGTCTTTTCAAGAAGGGCGGGCTTCTCAAGGATGTCAACAATGGCTCACTATTGTACTGAAGTGCATTGATGGTAGTATGGTGAGAATTGTACATTCATCAGGAAAATTTAAAAAAAAATGACCCCATAATTTAATTTGGAAACACAAATGTTAACGACTGGCGTGTTCTTAAATTATAAGTTTGTAATCACTTGAAACTAAAGTGTTGAACAGGAATGTTGCTGAGGGTTGGTTGCCGACTAATTGCAACGGCTGAAAGAAGACTTAAATCTGGCTGAAATTTCACATGAAAACAAAGAGTTGGGTAAACTGCCAAGAACTACCAAGACCGGAAAAACTAACTGGGATTGCTAATGAGCCAGCTTACTGTTTCCTTAGCTACATCTCAGGTTAAAAAAACTGACATGATTCAAACAGCAATATTTTTTTATGCTTTGAGCTCAGTGTAGCCCTTTGCATGTTTGTGGGACTAATGTGTTCCCAAACCGGCAATTCAATAACTAACATGGTAGGAGGAAATTTAGATGCAGAGTAGCTGCCTTACACCAGTGATGTTAGCCAGTATTATTTCATAACAGTAACATGCAGGCTTAATTCCTTTTCAGTCGATATTACCACTTGACGACCTTTATCCATCATTGCATGACAGAGTTTTGGAGAGGTTATCCCACAGCAGTACTGGACAAATTCCAGTTTTGGAACTCTCAGAGACAGTAGCACAGTTGAACTCCAAAGGAAAGAATTTTCACAGAGTAATAATTCAGTCTGGTACTCCATACAACTTCATGTGTAACGTTAAACTTCCTCACGGACAATGTTTACCTATAACTGATCCGGTTAGAATTCAAGAACTTGCCACAGAGGTACAAAAGTCACATCTTTAGACACTGCGGACCAGAATTTTACAATTTCTTGTCTTAAATTCAAGGTTCAGAGACAGGAAGATTTATTTGCATCTGAATAAGTAAAAGTTTGCTGTCTATTCCATGCTTACCGTCAGTGGGGATGACTGAAATTTTGGGC